CATACGTTGAATCGCATTCCATTCGAGATCACCCAAATGGCGGAAGTCATCACGCGTTGCGTGATGACGTTCTTCATTCGTTGGCTACATAGCGGATGGTACGGTGGTCGTTGAACGGACCACGAATCGCTACCAGGATTAATGGGGCACCCTCTGATTACACTCTGAGAGCATGATTTACCTTCACTACTTTAAGTGAAAGCAGGTGCCTCAGAACTTCACGTACACATGACAAAGGAAGTCTTATTGAAGGGGCTGTGAAGAAAATGGGAACTGTATTTAATATAGCTACCTTATCCAATAAAACTAATCTGTGTTTAACCTTTCCTTAACTATATTAAACTACAATATGTATGTTACAAGTTGCCTTCACTCATTGCCCGCGTCCATCGGTCATTGGTCAGCGCGTTGATTGATATAACGGCCTATATCAACCAGTTAGAGGGCATCTACCAACTTCAAGGAGATGCAGGGACAATATTTTAGGAAAAGGTAATATTGTCAAATATTATTAGTTATAGTAATATTTTTCTTGGCACTTTTTATCAATGCCAATATTATGTAAACGGCTCACCCCGTTACAGCCTGGTTTTGGGCGGGGATATCAAAGCCGAATTTACATTAATTAGCTAGTCGCTTGCGCTACACAGTTCCTAAACGCATTAAGAAATTGTACAGCGCTACAATCAGCCCAAACGGTTCAATTGATGTAGCCCCACTTTTCTTATACTTTTCAATTAGCTTCTTGCCCTTGTTCTTGCTCTTCTTGACTTTATCAGAGAAGTTAAGGGTGAGGATTATGCCATTGGTGCTATAGCAGGTACCTCCCAGTCATGCAGATAAGTCTGTAGTACTCGAAGCACTAGCAAGTTCAGTGCAACAAATTAATTGTGCCACTATGTCAAAAATGTTAGGTAAATAAAGTGGCAACTGATACACCCGCCGTTCATCATGAACGCGTAGCCACTTGTACTTCGGCGCGACTCAGTGTCGCCTGCCCAGTCTGCATCCGAATAGCCTGTAAGAGCATCGCCATCCGCCGTGAACTCGATGCCGTAGGTCTTCGTGCCTTGAATGTACCGAAATACCCGCTTTAGCGCTTGCCAATGTGTAGGACATGGATCTGCTGCAAATTGGCTGAGGACTCCCACTGCAGCGGCAAGGTCGGGACGCGTGCCAACCATAAGGTACATGAGGCAACCAACAGCACTTCGGTAGGGCACATTTGCCATTGTGTCGCTGTGATTGCACCCATCCTCGCACATGGACTTCGCCAATTTGAGTCCTGGATCTTGTGGTGTCTTGACTGGATTGCTGTTGTCCATGCCAAACTTAGTCAAAACGTCCTTGGCAAACTTGGTCTGACGCATCGATACCTTTCCACGTTCTTGATCGATTTCCATGCCAAGAAAGAAGTTGAGCTTACCCAAGTTGGTCATCTCAAATCGATCACTCAAGGCGTCCTTTACTGTATTGAGCATCTTGTCACTGCTGCTTGCAAGTACCAAGTCGTCCACATAGAGTGCGACGAAGATTATGGCTTCACCGTCGCGTTTCGTGTAGATGCAGTGGTCCGATTCACATTTCTTCAAACCAAGCTTCAGCATGAACTCGTCAATGGTCTTGTTCCACATGCGCGGCGATTGCTTCAGTCCGTACAGCGATCGATTGAGCTTGCACACGAGGTTGGTATTGCTGTCCTTGACGTAACCTTCAGGCTGAATCATGTAAATGTCTTCGTCCAGCTCACCATTGAGAAAAGCAGTCTTGACGTCCATCTGGTGCACGGTAAGATCATACTTCGCCGCAAGACTTAGCACGATTCGGATTGACGTGAACTTTGCCACAGGCGCGAATGTTTCTTCATAGTCAATACCGAACTTTTGCGAGAATCCTTTTGCAACCAGGCGTGCCTTGAACCGCTCAATTTGTCCATCCTTGTTTTCTTTGACACGAAATACCCATCTGCAGCCGATTGCTTTGCGACCTTTGGGAAGCTGAACAAGATCCCATGTCTTGTTCTTGAGCAGCGAGTTGATTTCGGAGTCGCACGCTTCTTCCCATTTCACAGAGTTGATGGATTCCATCGCCGACCTGTGCGTGGTCGGCATTTCTCCCACTGAATCCACAACGAATGCCGCCTCAAAATCTCCTTCAGCAATTGCCGACATGTTTTGTCGCTTCGAACTCGGAATTTCCGTTGCTTGATCAAGAGATTGTGTTCTTGGATGTCTTTTGTCGCCAGGCGCGAAGTCTGTCGTTTGGACGTTCTCAACGTCTTCATCTTCATTCATAGCGTCATCCGTATCTTCATGGTCCGTACTCACTTCCTCGTTGAGATCAGTGACCGCTTGTTCTTGGACAGATCTACCACCGTCGAAGACGTCTTCCATAAACTGCGCATCACGACTTACGGTGACGCGCCCACTTGATATGTCCTCAAAGCGGTAGGACTTGAGATGCTCCGCGTAGCCCAAAAAACGGCATAGTGAAGCCTTGGCATCTAATTTCGAGCGTTTCTCGTGCGGAATATGGACGTACGCATGACATCCAAATACCTTGAGGTTTGTCAGTACAGGCTTCTTCTTCGTTCAGACCTCATAAGGTGACTTTTCTTCACTTATGGCTCTTGTTGGGCATCGGTTTCGCAGAAACATTGCCGTCGTCACAGCTTCGCCCCAATATTTCTTGGGTAATCCAGCGTGCTCCAGCATGCAACGAGCACATTCCACGAGCGTCCGGTTCATTCGCTCCGCGACCCCATTCAGCTGTGGTGTGTACGGTGGCGTGTACTTTCGAACAATACCGTTCTTGGTACAAAACTTCGCCATGTCTCCAGCCGTGTACTCGCCGCCGTTGTCACAAATTAGCGTCTTGACGCGATTACCAGTTTGAGTCTCGGCAAGAGCAACAAACTCAGCAAACTTGGTGGTCACTTCGGACTTCTTCTTCATAAGGTACACCACGCAGTATCTTGACTTGTCGTCAATGAACGTGACGAAGTATCGTTTACCACTAAAAGTTAATCTTGACATAGGTCCACAGACGTCGCTGTGAATGACATCCAGAATCTTGGTTGAGCGTTTTGGTGCTGTCGATTGAAAACGCACGCGTGTTTGCTTACCAAGCGAACAACCATCACAAACATCCCAGTCTTCGACAGACGTTATGTTGATTCCAACACCAAGTTTCTTCTTCACGATGGTATCAAGTCCATCGTGGCCCAAATGACCAAGTCGAAGGTGCCAGAGGTACGACTTGGTGTCCCCATAACATCCCGACGACTTGGCTGCATTGGCTTCATCTCCCAGAAGTGGCGTCATTTGAAGCTTGAAGAGACCTTTACCCTCACGAGCTCCGATCTTCCACTTCATGCTATTCGCTTCGGCAAAACAGCCATCCGTGTCGAATGTTACAGGACCGACGTCCTTAGTAAATCGACCGACCGAGAAAAGGTTGCGGGATAGCTTGGGAATGTGCCACACCTTCGTCAGTACACCCTTCTTGATACCCTTCGGGGTCTTCATTGACATCATTATGTCACCACATCCAATTGCTTGCACGACACCATCGTCTGCAAGGTGTACGTCAATTGGAGAGAAGAGCTTGTAGTTTGTCATGAACTTCTTGGAGCACGTCATGTGCTGCGTCGCTCCTGAGTCGACCAGCCACACTTCATCCGCGTTGTCGGTGCTTTTACTCCAGCTAACCGAAAATAGATAGTCGCCGTCATTGTCGTTCTGAGCGACGTTGGCGCGATGCGATCGGTATTGTTCCGTGTTGTCTTGGCCTCGCGAAGGACACTCCGCGATCCAATGACCCATTTTGCCGCAATTATGGCACGCCCCAGTCTTCTTCACCGGTCGCCCTTTGTTGCGCTTGTTGTCTCTTGTCATAAACGCTTGGCCATGGGTAGCTCCGTCGACGCTACCACTTTGTTCCTTGCGTTTCATGTCCTCATGAAGAAGCCTAGACGACACTAGCTCCCACGTCAACGTATCAGCTCTCGATTCCAACGCAGTGATGAGGAACTGGTACGATTCGCTGAGACTTCCAAGCAGCGTGATTACCAGGTCGTCAGCACTGACCGGAGCGCCGACTGCTTCGAGCTGCTCTGCCAGAGTCTTTACCTTATTGATGTGTTCCATCACATCGTCCCCTTCTTCCATCGTGACTGTGAAGAGACGACGACGAAGGAAGAGCTTATTCGCCAAGCTCTTCTTCTCGAAGTGGTCTTCAAGTCTTGACCATGTATTATGCGCATCACTTGCAGAGCGGACGAGCGGCAGTTGCGAATCTTCCATAGCCAAGCAGATAGCTGCCATGGCCTTGCGAGACTTCCTCTTGAACGACGCTTGGTCCATCGTGTTCGCCAAGTCACCAATCTTCACTTCCCCAGAGACGACCTCCCACAGGTCACGCTCCTCGAGCACCATCTGCATCTTGAACTTCCAGGCGTGGAAGTTGGTTCCATCAAACTTGTTGATGCGATTCAGCGACGAGTGCTCCATAGCGAACGCGTAGTCGGCAGCAGAGGTTGAGGTGGCGGGGCTTGGGCTCATAACCGAAAGATCTTGGATAGGTTGGAAGTGCTTGATTGTTTTAATGCAAAACGCAAAGTGATTCATTTGGTACTTAGTTCGCTTACGCTACTCTAAGCCTAATGTTTACCCTCTGGATACACTCTACTTGATCCAAACTTCAACTGCATCCAATCACCGAACTTCAACTGCATCCAATCACTGAAATGACGATAGTATCGCAGCTGGTCGAGGAGTCATATTGACAACAGTTCTGGCTCCATGCCGATCTCACGCAGCATTTCACGAATTCCTAGCAGCTCCCGTGCGAGCCACGAATTCAGCTAATATGGTGCTGAGTGTGACGCCACCTTGCTTCTTCGCGCACCAGATCACAGCCATACCGTTGAGTCGCACAACGCCGCTGGTGATAGACTTGCGATCCTGTTTGTCTGCTGCAAAGTCTGCATCACTGAACGACTAGAGCGTCGGTGCGTTGCCCGTGTCGCGCTCTGGCACCATTTCGATCTTCATTGCGATCGTCCCCTTCAAGTATCGTGCGATCCGCTTGGCGATTATCCAGTCACGCACACGCGGTCGGTGCGTCTGTAGTGTTGCTTTGTGTACTGCAAACGACACGTCCGGTCGCGTGCATCGTGTGCTCCATAGTAGCGAGCCGACTAGAGACTGGAACGACCCGATCGTCGCGTGCTTGCATGCGTCGTTATTGTCGAGTAGTTCGCTGTCAGCATCTTGCACCTCGTACAAGTCTGCTTCAATTGGCGAACGCGTGGTACTCGCGTCACTTAATTCATTATCTCGCAGCAACTCGACGATGGCCTCCTCTTGGTCCAAATCGTAACTCCCACTTGTCCCCTTGTTCACACGTATCCCGAGGAACTTCGCAACTGGACCGAGGATTTTGATCGATAGGCACTGCATCACGTCGAAAAGCTGCTTTACGACTACCGTAGACGTTCAAGTGACAAGTATGTCGACGACGTAGACTCCTTCAATCACAAGCTCTGCGTCCAATCGCCTGTAGTATAAGCAGATGTCGCTGATTCACTGCGTGTACCCGCCTTCGACAAATCGCTCCTGCATCAGCTGACTCCATAGTAGGCCGGCCCGTTTGAAACCATGAAGACTTCTGCGTAGCTCTAAAGCCAGGTCCTTTGTGCTCGTGACGCCGAGCTCGCGCATGCGCGCCGCTGGTACTTCCACGCCGCTCGGGATGTGCTGTAAGATCTCGAGGTGAGGCTCCTTCGACGCTTCGACATACTTCGGTATGTCACCGTGCTGAGCCGGGACGCCCCACGTCGCAGCAAGTGCCAGGATCACTTTCACTGTGATCATATATATGACCGCAGCAAATGTCAGAAAGTAATTAACGCTCAGAACTTGCTCGTTGCCACACGAGCAAGTTCTAAGCGTTAATTACTTCGGTCTTTTTAGTCTTAAAAACCCACCTTGAATGCAAGACGTTGCTGCCACTTGGACGACGGACAACTGCACACACGTCGTTGGCCTCAAGAGCCGCAAGCTTCTCCTCCATCGCTTCCTTCCAGTTCAAACACTTCGTGCTCTTGATCGCTTCGCGGTGGTTCTTCAGATCGGGTTCGAACACGTGGCTCACCACGTCGGTGCTACGAGCGGCCTCGTCCTGGCTTGTAGAGGATTTCTTCGACGCTGCACGTGTGGCGATCGGTTGTCTCGTCCACTTGTGCGTTTTCCTTGGCTTCTTGCTATATGCCTTGTGCTCACGTTGCATCGCATGCGCTGGCTCTTGAGCGTCGCTGCTGGTGTTCGCATCTGCACGGTCGTCGCTCTCGAGCTCGCGCTGCAGTTGCGTTCTGCGCTGTTGGAAGTGTCTCGATGTTCTTGACATGTTGTGTGACGACAACAAAGTTGTCCTTGCGCAAGTAAAAACGGAACCCTTTCGTCTCGTGGCTTTGACCAACGATGGTGCTGACTTGAGCGCGATGGGCGAACGAATCCTTCCGTGGATCGCGGTACACCGTACATGGGAACCAAATATGACAATTTTGCGTAGATCTGGAGCTCGCTTCGTCAAGACTTCGATGAAGGATGCGCGCTTCGGGTTCGCGCTCGTCGGGCTTCTGTTAAGATTGTATGTTGCATACTCAGCAGCGTCTCCCCAGAACGTCAAGAGCAGTCCCGACGCAAAGATCATCGCCCGCGTCATGTTCAACACCGTCCGGTGCATACTTTCGGCTTTTCCGTTGGACGCCTGAATCCGCGCCTCACTCACTTGGCGAGCGACACCAGTCTGCCTACAAAACAAGTCGACGTTCTGGTACTCTCCTCCGCCGTCTGTGCGCAACACGGCGACCTTGCAATTGAACTCTCGCTCGAAGAAAGCGACGAATGCTCGAACTTCTTTGTGGTGGCGTCCTTGGTCTAGGTCAGGAAGATGCGGCAGTAGTTACTCTTATGATCGACGAAATTAACAAGATACCGGTTCCGCAAGCGATCAGCGGTGTCAATGGCCCTTTAAATCGGACCAAATCACTCCTCTGACCCGATCAATTGGAGAGTGCACGCCGGTGTCCTTCTTGATTTGGCTGTTTTTCGTCTGTTTGTTCTGAGCACACGTGATGCACGTCAAACGTCTTTGATCCGTAATGCGAATTTCACTGCCCGGGTTCTTCGCGATCCTCTCGATCGTGTCATACGAAAAATGCCCGAACATCTGGTGGAAGTTCACGAGTGTCGCTTTTTGCACATCGGGCGACACATCTGCCGTCGCTTCCTCCTCAAGAGCAGCATGGATCACCACTGCTGTTGATCGCGCTGAAAGTTTTGACGACCAGAACACTATTGCGCATCGTAATGTCAAACGCGAAGTGTCCATCCGATCGCCGTACGACTTCACGCCCATCGTCAGTGTACGTGAATGCGTACCCAATCTGCTTGAGCTCCCCGTAGCTGATGAGATTGTGCGCAAGACTTGGCGCGTAGTAAACATTCGACAGCTCGATCTGACGCTGCTCGCCGCGCGCTGTCACAAAAAGGCGCACCCGTCCGACATTCGTTAGCACGAGCTTCTTGTTGTCAGCTAGAGAGATCTCATCGATGTACTGCTTGCTGTCGATGAGTAAACGATCGTCGCTCACGATGTGGCGGCTGGCGCCGCTGTCAAAGATCCAGTCGGAGCTTGCACCTGCTCGGCTGTCATTCACGGCATGCAGTAGCACTTCTTCGTGGTCGTCTTTGCCCTTCTCTCCTTCTTCTTAAAGCGACAGTCCTTCTTCAAATGCCCCTGCTTCTTGCAGTTGTGGCACGTGCGCGTTTCCTTGCGCTGTGTCGAGTAATCTGCGACTGCGACGACCCCGCGACCCAGTGACTTGCCGGCACGACTGTCGACCTCGACTGCTTGAGCAAAGTGCGCAAACTCCTTAGCTTGGCGCAAGTAGTCGATCGTCCTGCGTCGAACTTCGCCATGAGCACCGTCGACAGATCCGCCGACGCATAGTACAGTATGTTGTCAAGTACCCGCGCCTCGGCGCCTCCTCCACACACGTCGCACACTGCGACCATGTAGAGATAGTGTTCAGTCCACAACCTCTTGTGGTCCTTCTTGGCCGTAAACAGCTTCATCGATTGCGACGCTGTGATCGTTGTTCGGAACGCTTGATACATGCGGTCCTTGATGTGGTCGAGCGTCGGGGGCTGCTCTTACCAAACATCGACTTGCTTATTGAAGTATGCCCAAGAGATCAACTTTGACATCTTCAGCTTACGGGAAGCCGCACGCCGCCTGTGAGAAGTTCACCGCACGTATGAACGAGCGTCCCCAGTCCTGAAAGCCGGTGCCGAGTCCTTGATACAGTTCGGAGCCGTCAAAATTTCGGATCGCGAGCTTGCGCTGACGCGCGTCCGGCGTCCGATACCCTTGCAGTACTGGCGCAGGTGCAGCAACCGGTGATGTCGCTGCCTGTTGTTGCATTGGCGCATACGCTTGCTGTGCGTAGGCTTGTTGCATCGCCGGGGCCTGTTGCTGCTACTGCGGTGGAGGTACTCGCAAACCGAGAGGCTTGAACAACGATTGTACCATAACTTGAGCTCGCAGACGTGGCCGCGGAGCTGCTGGAGGATCAGGTGATCGTCTTGGCGGCATGAACCCGAGTGCTTCGCGGTTCATTGGTCCTCAACCTATCCCTCTGCCGAGAGCGGAGTCAAACATTCCACTGTCGATGGCGCCGAGTAGGCGCTCGTTCTCATCAATTTTCACTGCGACATCTTAAGTTGGTCCATGCGACTCGTCATGTTCTCGAGATCAGTGAAATTTGTGCGCTGATGTCCGAGTTCTCGCCCCTTCCGTGAGCAGGAGAATCGACGACCATCGCAGCCGCTGGCGCAGCTGGTGTAGCAGCAGCTGCAGCTGTCGGTGCGGCGGCCCTTTCGTGACCGTCGTCAGCGACGCGTACTGCAGTGCTTGGCGTGTCGTTCGTCTCGGAGCCAGGCATTGGGCTCATAACATGTACGTTGTTGAAGGCGAATTGGATTCTGGCATTCATTACAAAGCTCTCCGCGCTTGCTATCTGTCGGTCTCTCTCGCTCGCTAGCTCTTCACTTTCACTCATGCAACGTTCTCACTGCGCTCGCACCATGCGATCCAACAGGCACGCGATCGTTCCACACGTCGCGACTGCTCACACCACGCCATCACGACTGCTCACGGCGTCGCACACGCCATCGCGAATGCTGCCGTACGCCGTCTGCTTCTCTCTTCTCGCTGCATACTGGAACACAGTGTGCCCGATACTGACCTTTCGCATCTTTAATGCAACTCTTGCGATCATGCATTCACACAGAGCGACTTCTTTCAACAGAAACCGCTTGAAGAATCTTACAACGCAAACAGTATAGAGCCTGGTGTGGTTGTTGTGGTGGTATGGTGAATGTGATGTGGTTGATTAATCCATTCCAATTTAAATAAATATTGATATGAAAAATTTAAATTTAAAAAACTCCAATCTTTTATTTGTTTAAAAAATAATTCAAAAGATCTAAATGTTATGTTATAATTTTAAAACAAAAGTTATGGTGTGGTGGATAGTAAAATATGCGCAAAACTAACGCTCCCCTACAATAATAGGGAATTGTGCTATCCCATTACTAAATCGACTCACCCAACTGTGTTAGGGAATGCTATTTCCACCACACTTTTTGCTATTTCCACCACACCATAACTTTTTGTTAATTAGCCCACCTTTCCAAATTTGTCCAAATCTGATTAAGATTACATCTAATGTGTTCACATACACAAGAGTGGACAAGAAGGTGAAGAGCTCATCATCTAACCACAAACTAAGGTTTTTCTAGCGCGCAGTTGCTACCCGCATATTTTGCTAGATTACACTCCTTCGCGGACGCCATGCATACCGACGTGCCGACCGTCGGGCCGACGTGCCTACCGACATATTTGCTGGATGAGCGCAATGCAACAAGCTCGTACGTTACAAGAAAGAATGCATCATGCGGTAGTTTCTTTGTTAGAGTACTGGTGGTGCGATGCCGCTTCCAATGCTGCCGTGCAACTCGAATCGTGCAGGTAGCGCATGCTGCTGCAAATCGTTTTATCACAACTTGGCGGCACAATCTTATCGAACACACAAATACATCAAGTGTGCTCAAGGTTGTTACCATTGCCTAAGGAACTGTCAAAAGTGGGCATATGATGGTCTCCAGCACGCCGCATGACTAAATTTGCAGCTCTTCCGCAGCTGCCATCCTGGACCAACCCGTTTTCGTTATCTTTGCAACAGCATGGTAAAGCGACGGTTTTGATGCGAAGCGAAAGTCATGCGGGACAATGATGCCCTTCGGCGCGGGGGCAAGAGTTTCGGGACAGGCACGCACACGTTTGGGGACTGCAGGCTGAGTGTTGAGACTGCGCTAAAGAGCTGGTGAGGCGTCCTAGGAGGCTAAAGAAAGAAGAGATGGCTTTCAGACCATGAAATGAAGTAGGGATATGCAGCAATATAGGTGACTAGCAGCTATGCGACGACGTGAATACGCGAATGGGCTCCACTTTCTAAAGCGGATACGTTTTTGTTGACTTTTGTTTGACGCGGATATACGAGCTGCCATAGACACCGAGGATCTAAATGCAAATGATACTTACTAACGCCGAAAAACAGCTACTGCGGAAGCTGAAGTTACAGGACTCGAAATGCAGGTCAATTCGCCGGTCGACACTGCCATTCAATCGCAGCTACAGCAATGTAAGACAAGTACATTCACACTTCTGCAATCATTTCCACCGCGGCTTACCTGTCATTGGCACCAACACACATGATTACACTAGGCCTGTCAACCACAATAAGAGTTGTAAATTGGGTGGCAAGAGACTTGGATCGATCTACAGCAGCGTGCCTTTGCCGCCTATTTCGGTCATAACTTATATATGCTTATTCTTGCATACAAGTGGACGATAGCCATTGCTGCCGATTAGGCCAGAGACTATTTGGCCACTCCCGCGAGACGGACTCTCAGTGACTTTAAATCGTGGTGTCGTCGCTATTTACTGCCAACTATAAAAAATCGGACGAGGACGGTTAAAGTCAAGGAACAAACACCCATGCGCATACTGAGTGTCGTAGATATTCGAGGCCAACCGTAACACGAGAGATTAGGGCCTGCTTCTCTATGCGAACGAGATGACGAAACGGCAAAACGATGGCTGGCGATCAGGCGCTGGATTGGTCGTAAATAAAAGCTCACCTTGTAGTGCGTTTTCAAATCCACAACCGTCACGACGCCTGTCGCTCTTTTCACTTGCAGATTTACAACACACAACCGTCGACCGATTGTTCCATTTTAACGCCTACAAATTGATTAGCTGCCTTTCTACGGTGCACACACATGTGGACACTGCTTTTCGTGTTGCTGCTGGTAGTTGCTACCGCCTTCATTGCTTATGGTGACGTACTTTTAACGAAGCTGGTGCGCCATTATGGGGCTTTGGCCGTGGGCTCCAAATTTACAATCACCTGGTCTCTTCGTAACGGTTCGCTAGAGCTGCGCGACCTAGTGGTGGATAAGCAGGTACTTCCCAACTTAGAGGCGCTGGCAGGACTTCCTATCGGACTCGAGCGCCTGGAGATACAGCAATTGCTGCTAGTCATGCCGCTCTGGGGGCATCTGGTAGGTCTTGTGAGCGGTCCGTCTGGTGATCTGAAACGCCCACGACTAGCTTCTAAGGTAGTAGTGGGAGGTATTCGAATTTGCCTGACTCTTGACGCTGCGGAGAAATGGATGTGGCAACGCGATGAAAACGTGGCGCGCCGCAAGGAGGCGTTGAAGCAAGCGGCCACGGCGCGGGTGGAACGCGTCAACACCTGGACAGCAACAGTGGTGAAGAAACTAAATGACGTTGCAGCGCTACGTAAGGAGATCGACGAGGAAGAGAAGCCGAAAGGTGAGACGACTGGAGACAAGACACCGCTCATGCCTGTGTTCTGGCACAGATGGGTTGACGAGCTGCTGGACTCGTTCGAGATTGTGCTGCACTTGTTTACGCTTTCGATCCGTGACGAGTACTCGGGAGCTTTTGTGGGCATTGCACTCGATCAATTCGAGATGAATTGTAGTGGTCCTTGTGGAGACAACCGACGCAAACGTTTAATGCGACTGGTAAACTACAAAATGTTTCTGAACTCGAAACCTGGTAACAGTGCGGATGTCTGCCACCTGATCACTCCGCTTACCATGGAGATCGGCGTTTTCATGCCCTTTATCTTCCAGTCGCTTATTATGGGACGGGGCACAAGCATTCCTGCACTAGAGCTAGAAATCTCGTTCGCAAATGGACAGGAGTTAGAGATTGAGGTACGTCCCGCACAGGCTGGAATGCTCTTAAAGTTGCTGCAGCCAATCAATTATTACTATGATTGGCAAACGGCGGCGTCCATTGAAGATGACCTCGCCTGCGTGCAGCTGACTCCAACGGAGTCCAAAGAGTATATGACGTTGTTTAATCAACAGTGGAAGCTAGACGAAGAGACTAGCTTTTTATTCCGGCTGTACGAGGGATACAAGCACAAGGAGGCTATTTCCAACCGAAAGGCTCGCTTGGACGAGATGGAACAGAAAGTGCTCGCTTCCCGTCTCCTCTATCTGCGTTCGATGGTGCTTGGCTTGGATGTTCCGAATGCAGGAACGCCGCTGCCGCTCGTAAGTGAAGAAGAGGTGAAAAGAGGAAATTTGCGCAAGTTTGTGGATAATCCTATTGATCACTACGTGGATAAGAACAAAATACGAGAGACACCGCCGATGTTCTCCTTCTTCCGGATATCGTTCAAGATGAAAAAAATGAATTTGTGTATGATTGAGGACAATGAGAAAAAGCTGATGACATTATTCGTGCACGAAATGGGCTTTGAACTGCACTATCGGATGACAATGGTTGCTAAAAAGGACTTGGCCGTCAAAATTGCGCTGGATGTCAAGCGTTTTGGACTGCTGGACAATCGTAATGCTCCAACTAATGCGTTCCATCAGATCATGGACCGCAATCCTGGAGCCGACAATATGATGTCAATTGCTATCACACAGCAGGGAGACGGCTACATGAATCTTGGAGTGATCTTCAAGCACTTCTCATTATTAATTCTCTTTGATCCGCTGCTGTATGTTATGCAACAATTCTTGCTTGCTATTGGCGAAGATGAAAACGAACAGTTGCGGTTCGTTGCATATGAGATGGCAGACAGTTTAGACTCTCCAGAGCAGCGAGATGCTGCAAAGGTCATCTACGTGGAAGATCTGCCAAAGCCTTATTCACCTTTGTTGCTCGGCGGCATGTCGCTTGGTTGCAGCATTGTCTTAGAGGGCTGTGAGTTTTGTCTCATTGGAGATTCTAAGACTTTAAAGTCCCCCGTTTTGGCTTTCACTTCGGATATCAAGCTCCGAGTCTTGAGTTCCGAGCGCTCGGAAGCCGTGGAGCTGGAGCTGGTTGACGTAGCTCTGACTCCGTGTACAATCATCTTGCGCGACAATGGTATTGATCTTGAAATTGGAAACGTACGAACCATTCTGGAGCTTGAAGGTGCAGGTGTCGATTTGTCAATGGGGTACAGACTTTCAGTAGGCGACTTACCTCAAAACTCGTCAATTAGTGATAAAACGTCGGATGGTACAGGAAAGTCTGCAGCAAACTTGTGGAAAGTTGCTCGAAAAGCTGCCGCTAAGCAACAAATTGTTGAGGTTGACCACCCTGAGGCTAAAGAGATTGAAGGACGAATGTTGTCCCAGCACCGTAGGAATCGCGTGAAAGCTGGCGGACGCCGTAAGCTTATGATGCAAATGTCGGACTTTGCGATGAATCTCTCCGCGAATGATTTGGGTGTATTGCTTAGTATCTTAGCATCACTGAATGAATCCATGCATGAGGATATTGAAGTCATAAGAAAGCGCGAGGAGCGTGAAGCTCGAATGAAGCAAGCGAAGCATGAAATTGAAGAAAAGCGCTACATGGATCGATTAAAAGCTGAGTTTAAGCTGCGTGATGTTGATGGGGGAGGCTCACTTGACGTAGTGGAAATCAGGGACCTTTTGCGGTGTGCGACAGACTGCAATAATCTAACAAAAACGGAGTTCGATGCGACCGTAGCAGATTTTGTAAGTATTGTGGACAGTGACGGCAGCGGCGATATCTCATTGGAAGAGTTTGAGAAAGCCCTGAGTCGAGACACGGTCCTTTACACACGGCTGCATCACAATGTAGTTTCCATCACTGGTCAGGAATATGTTGATCCGGACATGCAGCGCAACAAGGTGCCGTATATTACGGGTGATAATGCCAACACTTTAGCTAATGCAGCAGCACTTGCTTCATTCTGGGAGCAGTATGAAGAACAAATAGGCGCGTCAAACACGTCCCTGTGCGGTCAAAGACCTGTCGTTGTCCAGAAAAAAATGGTCCGAGTGTTTAAGAATTATGAGTATGCTCAAGAAGCCTGGATTCGAATCGTAAATCCGTCATTGGTAAAACCTGGTGAGCAGTGCCGTTGGTTGCTGAGCAAAGAGATGGAGATGGGTGGTCGCAGAGATGTGATTGATCAGTTATTGTCCAGTCTAAAGGATGATGCCGTTGACCATACTTCTAAAACCCCTGGTTCTGCTGTTGAGCAGCATCTTTTTGTGCAGACGGTTGTTTCAACTTCGTTTGGCGGCTTTTACTTGCGCTTGATTGACGAAATGCTACCGATGGAACTTCCGGCAATTGAGACATCGCTGGAGGAACTAGGGATTTACGCAAATTTCTCGATTTGGGAAGGCGGATCGATAACGGCTACCGATTTCGAAGCGCAAAAGCGGTACACAAACAGCTTTGGAGTTGCAAAAATTAGTTTTGACGTATATGGTAACTACTACAACACGAAGGCGCGTCAAATTGAACCATTTATCGAGTTTTACCAAGGCATTCTGGATATTAAGAAAGAGCCCAGATCCCCGTTAGAAGTAATTTACTCGTCAGACCGCTATTTCCAATTAAATGTCACATCAGCGTTTATGGAAGCGGTGAATTCGAACGTGGCAGCGTTTTCCAATGTTGAGCATCGCGCGGAAGCTGAGCGTCCTCATATTAAAGAACTTGGTGGCATCTTTTGGATGCTGAATGAAAGCGGCGTGAACATCAAGTACTATGTGGTCACGAAAAAGCGATCAGAGGAGCGTGCGCGGGAAGAAGTTGTGACTGCAGTGACTGCAGTCTCTACCGGCGAAGCGCATGCTTGTATGCTGCTGAATAATAATGAAGCCGAAGAGTTCGAGCAAGAAAGTTTGAAGGAAAAACAGCTGCGGCAAGCTTTTCGAGACGCTGATCAGGATGGAAGTGGCGAGTTGGACACTGAAGAAGTGCGCGCAGTCCTTCGGAGCGTGTATGAAGAGGAAGACAAGCAACGAAAGTCATCAGGCACGCGGAACTCGTCTACATACAAGCGTAGCAGCAGCGTACTAGAGAATGATACTGATTTTTCCCGGGCCGTGGATGACTTTATCGCACTGGCAGACACTGACAAGTCCGGACAAGTGTCGTGGGAAGAATTTAAATATGCGATTACAAAGTCGCGGGCTACGGTTGATCGGTATATTTCAGTGGAAATTGAAGGGTACCGAACGATTCACGGTGTACGATTAATGGCAATAGGCCAAACTCAAGTCTATGAGCTGACTCCCTTTTTTGAAGATGTGGAATCAGAGACGTCTATAGCAGAACTCTATGACCGTGGCGTGGCTTTGCTAACTAAGATAGAGAAACCAACGCGCCAAGAGCTACAGAAGGCATACGCTTGCTTGCATCGCGTGAAAGAGATCGACCCAAACTACGAGTGGATTGATTCTTACTATGGCGACTGTGTGCGGCAGTACCTCCCTGTGCTGGCCGCTCTTTACATATCTGTTGATGGATTTTACGGCCTGCAAGTGAAGGTTTCTGGAGCAGAATATGTTCGCAATGGAACTGCGAAGGATACGGAACTGTTGATGTATGACGAAGAGGGACAGATTGCCCGCTGTAATCCAAATCAGCACAATGGGGATGAGCGTTATTTTTTATTGCCGGCTCTCAGTACAATCAGCATTCCCTTAGACTTAGTTGGCGCTGGTTCTTTTGCTATTCGTCAAATTGGAGAGACTGAATGGAGCAGCACGCTCCATCTATCTGTCGCAGACCAACGGATGTACAAGCGGATGACGAGATTTGAGCAGCTTGAGGCCCAGAAAGCCCTGCGTGGAGAAGATAATAGCTCAGTTTCTTCTGCAAAACGCGTAAAAGAGAAGCTTGGTACAAACGCTGCTCTCCCCGACACGAATGAGATTGCACCTACTGGTAAAGAAGTTGTGTATCCTTCATCGAGCTGTATCGATAATCAGCCTACCGTTGTGGTCGAGAAGATTTCTGCCAACGACGCCAAGCTAGGTACCTGGTCATTGACAATCCAGCCACAGTTAGTGCTCCACAACGTTCTTCCGTGTGGTGTCGAATACGCCATTGTTCAGCCTGATGATTGCCCACCTGATACCCTTACTAGTAAGGGGGAGTTTCGTGTTGTGGACAACATCGGTAAGGACAAAAAGTCTCGAGCTGTAAAAACACTTGGTCAGATCGACTACTTCAACTATGTTAATGAAGTGAACAGCCGTAAAATGTACGTTGAAAGTGGAAAGACTATTCAAGTCTTCGGTTTGAACCTGAGAAAACCCGCCTTGATGATAATGCGCCTTTGCGCAAGCGAGACGATCCAGGCTCCGACGTGGAGTGCGCCGTTCTTAGTGCACCTCGAAGAGTCTCGCGAATTTTTTAACGCAGACGCGTTTGAGTTGCTATTTGATAACGGCCCAAGTTTTGTTTTCCACCCTCAATGGGAGGAAAATGCTGCGCGCACTATATTCTTTTACTCGCCATTCTGGATCCAAAACCGAAGTGGTTTGGACTTACGTTTGAAGTTGTCTCGTGGCCGAGTTTGCACAATTGAGGAACATCGTGCGTTCTTTCCTGGCGCCAAAGAAATTCCGCTTTTAGCTACTGCTCCGCTAGACAAAGCTTTCGTTAGCTTCCGTCCTTTCCAAGAAACACCATACATCTACGAAGATGAATCATTAGTATCTGGAAAGACAAAAAAATACTTGCCGGACTTTAACAAGTTGGGGTGGTCGGAGCTCGTAGATATGACGACTGTAAGCAAGAAAGGAGAGTTGCGTCCAAGTGGAGCAGGAAACTGCTCATTTGTGCTTGCATTTGAAATTCGCGCTGCGCCAGCACAATTCTTTCGATCGAAAGTTTTTGTGATTTCCCCACGCTATGTGTTCCTGAATCACGTTCCGAGGCCATTGCAGCTTACTCCAATTTTACTTGACAAGAAAGGAAACCGCGGAAGAAGCCGTTCAGACCAATCAAACTGCACATTACGAGTAGGTGAGGCAGCTGTGGTGTATCGCCTGAGAGGCCCCGAAAAGTACGTTGCAGGTTTTCGTGTTCGTGATATGGCTACCGACCACCAAGATGTGGGTGAGTGGAGTCCGAACATGCCACTGTTTAAGCTAGACTCCAAATTGAGTGATCCGAATGTGGCATCCAATCGGTCGGAGGAGGCAGTATTCTGGACACGTGGCAGCTTGGGCGATGGACCTGTCTGCAGCGTGGGTGTACAGGATGTAGCCGAGACTATCTTCATAACGCTGAATGATGTTTCCGCCAACCCGAACTATCGTATCGAAAACCGCTCAACCCGCTACTCGTTCCGGTATGTGCAGCACGGTGTCAAGACTGCCGAAGAAATCGTTTTGGGCCCTTTGGAGAGCCATTCATTCGCGTGGGAGGATCCAAAAGGAGACTCAAAGCTGCGTGTCACGGCAACGCACTGGAAAGTGTCGACGGTGGTCGACTTTATGCAGATTGGTGAGATGAAGAATGCACCCCAGGGCCTGTTCGGTGAGGTATATATCGATCGCTCTACGCGAGTGTTTGCCATGGGGGACACCAATGTGTTCTCTGATGTTCGACAGCGTGCAACTGTAAATGAATGGCTCAGCAATACGGTAATTGATGTTTCAATGCACGGGGTTGGAATAACGCTGGTGGATGAGCAACCGCAGGAAATCTTGAACATTACCATGGAAACCATTCGGTTTGATTCAAAGGCAGGATCTCGTCGTGTTTCTTTGTCAGTTCACCATGTTCAAGTAGACGATATGACCCCAAATTCCGCATACCCTATCGTGTTCGCTCCCAAGGATAGTGGATATAATAGCGATATGCGAGAGGGATGGCTTCCAGTTGACGGCGAACAGCCGTTTTTCGTGCTCAGCTGCGAAACGCTTCCGCAAAATGGCATCGTTATTGTCAACGACTTTGACTTGCAGATTGGGTCAATGGCGGTCAAATTGAATCTGGAGTACTTGCTTGGGCTAAGCAACCTTCTATTCCAATTTATTCCGGGGAGCGATGAAGCTACGATTCTACAGCAAGGCGTTGAAGCCAAAAATGAGATGCTTGTGCTGAAAATTTCGTTCCCGGATGGCTCCGTATCCGCTGGTATGCTAATGTATTTCAGACGCTGGCACATGAGTAATTATGACTTCGACTTGGTGTTTGATTCGCTGCAAGAAGACAAAGGCGAAGGCATTTCTGCAATTTTAGGCAATACCATGGGTAGTATTGTTGGCGGGATTGCACACGTGACGCCTGAGTTCCACTTCGGCGAGATTGTCTACCACAACCGTTTCTTCAACGAGTATGACTTGATTTATGATGTTGTGCTGAAAATTGTATACTCGGTTATTGGTCAGTGGTACAAAATTGTTGGTAGTGTGGAGATGTTGGGTGATCCGGTTGGCCTCGCCACAGATATTGTGAATGGTTTTGCGCTAGCAGCGCGTCAACTTAAGCGCGATGTCAGGGGAAGGAGTCGTCGGAAGGGCCAAAGTGTCGTGACTGTTGTCCAAACTGTATTTGGTGTACCCCTGAGGTCCATCGGAAAAGTGTCAAACGGCCTTGGTGATGTGGTTAAGAAGGTCACGCATTTTGAGAGCCAAGAAGACTCGAATGAACCACGGCATATTCCTGAAGGTTTTGTGCAGAGTGGCAAGGTGTTCGGAAAAAGCATCGCGTTTGGTGTGAAGGGCTTTGTCAAGGAGCCAGTCCGTGGTGCCAAGCGCGGAGGTGTCAAGGGATTTGCGAAAGGTGTTGGTCGTGGAACGATGCAACTTGTTGCATGTCCTGTTGTCGGCACGCTTGGCGTGGTCGAAAAGATGTCGCAGTCTTTGAGCAATACCACGCACCTGATGGAAGAAAAACGTTTTGAGGGTACACGTCGGCCGGCGAGAAATCTCATGACAGGATCACTGAAGCAACTTTCCGACTCGAATGTGATTACTGAAGTGGAGGTGCACTGTTTGTACGTTGACGGGTTACCTGCTAACGTGAACCCGAAGGTGGTGGTTCGCGTCTATTCCCAGACGAATGGCTTTCCGGCGAAGGAGCTCGGTGTTTACAAATCATCTACAGCGCGGCACACTGACACCCCCAAGTATGATCAATCGTGGCTGATAAGTGTTTCGTCTCTTGACACTTACATCGAGGTAAATGTATACCATAAGCGGAAGCCGCTGCCCGAGAAACGTCTTGGTTTCGTTCGTTTATCGTTGGAGGACATTTATCGTGATTTCGAGGCAATTCCCGCGAAGATTTTGGCAGATACAAATGCCAAAATGCAGCTCAAACGCCGCAAGCGTGTTCGCGGAAGTATCATCAGCAAGCTGGCTGCAGCCAGCAATCGACCGATGGAAGTGCGTGACGACTCATGGCGCCATCAGATTAACCGTCCGCCAAAGTCGGGTAGCAGCATTTTGTCAGAGGACGAGAACGAAGGGTTTGCAGACTATGACCAAGAGGTGAGCGTACTAAGTAAAAGCTCGATTTGCCTCGATGGCACTTTTCCACCTTCGCCGGTTGGCATAACGCTTCAGGAATGCGAGTCGGAAGCGAAGATTTATCTTAGCATTCGTTATGTGAACGACATGCGGCGATACACGTAGGCCACGCGAAGCGATAGTATGGCTGCAATCAAGTATGAATTCTTAAGAAATAGTAATTCGAACGGTTCATATTTTATGCAGTAGTTATACTACATACAGTACTATCACGTTAAAGTACATGTGACCATATGATTGGGACACAGGTAAATATGACGCAGCGAACCTCGATGGCCATGGCACACGGCGCGCTGCAAAAGCAAGTAGTGTCTTCTTAATCAATTGATTCTTTGACAGTATCTCATAACGTTTAAGACGCTGCAGATTGCCTTATGTACGCACGGCTTCGGAGATTCAGGAGATGAAGTTCTGGCGCGCGCCTGTGCATGAAAGCCACCGCATTGTGGACCCCGTCAAGCGCGCCAAGAATCACACGTCGCGTCTCATTAACATGCAACTGAGTAAACTCTCAAGTATCACGCGTCAGGTCTCGATGGACTTTCCAGCACTCAAGCGCATGCATCCGTTTGAGCAGGTACGTCTTCTATTTGACTGGGCACGACGAGCTGTAAAGCTCATGATGCTATCTATATGCTGTGATTTATAGGAAGTAGTGGTGCTTACAATCGGCAAGCGGACTTACGAAAATTACCTTCAAATGCTGCGAAGAGTATACGCAATGCTGCACAATACGGGCAAGCTGTACGAGCGCGAGTGTCAGGTGCTACGCACCAAGCAAGAGGCTGTTGACTGCGGACTACAGTGCATTGAGGCGAGATTCTAAGTCTAATGTTGACTAGGTATGAGTAACTAATGACTTTTTTGTATGATCTAGGAGCTTAAAAAAATTGTTGACGACAATGCGGAGACGCTGCGAGAGGCTGCGAACATGGTCAAGGTAATTGCAGCTTAAACAGATGCATTGAGTCAACCGTAGCTGATGCGTTTACGGTTTGCAGATGCTTCGTGGCCTTCCTCATGTGGACCTAGACAAACCCATTTTTTCCTTCGTCGGAGCCCCCAACGTTGGTACGTTAGTAGATTTATGCTGATTTTTTCAGCATAGTTTTCATTAATGAATTTGTGGCCCTTTCACAGGAAAATCCTCACTAGTGCGCGCTTTGTCGACGGCTTCTCCAGAGGTAATTTTTGGTCAACCAAAAACTTACTTTTGCATTACTAACTCTTCCAATTGTTTTGCTGTCCAGGTGGCGAATTATCCGTTTACTACACGCGGTATTACAATGGGTCACATTTTTGTCGACGGCATTTCGTACCAGGTAAATATGACAAGGCAATTGGTTTTCGAATGTGCGCTTACACGTGGTACTAATTACAGATTGCCGACACCCCCGGATTAATTTTCCGACCGGACGAACGACGAAATGCGATTGAAAAGCTGGCAATCGCAATAGTGGAGAAGACGCAAGCTGTGCGTCACACTGCGAGTGGATAACCCGCCATTTCTATCACTTTGACACTCTGTTTGCTCTACATGCTACAGTCGATCGGCTTTGTGTTCGATCCATCAAGCTCTTCCGGTACATCAGCAGTCGACCAGATTCTGCTTCGTGACGAACTTCGACAGCGTGTCATGGCAGCTCGTCCTGAGCACAAGTGGATTGACATCATTTCGAAGATTGACCAACCGTCGAGTGGTCTGCCATTGCTGAAGGAGAGGTACGTGTTGTTGTTGGGACCATAGCACAACACGTGTATTTTGGAACGGCTTTCCTTGATATTTTCTGTGTCAATGCTGAATATTTCAATACAGGTTGGGGCCGTCGCCGCACTTTTGTGTCTCGGCCCAGACGAACGAGTGTCTTGTAGAGCTTGGAGATGAGATTCGTCGAGTCCTTACGCAGTCGGCTTCCGAAGACGGTTTCTTGGAGTAGCAGCAGTTATAGGATTAAAAGTGCGTGTAGCCAAAGAACTGATGGCTGCCAAATCACCACGAACCAAAAACTGTCTTACGTTTTTTAAGTAAAAAAAGTATCAAAGGGTGACTTTTTGGTTGCTCATTTTCAAGCTTGGAGAACAAGTCGAATTGCGCAGACTAAAAATCTGCAAAAATGCTGGGAAAAAAGGCCTTGGAGGGCATTGCCGCGTACAAGTACAAAGCGTAAATTGCTTGCTGTTTATTACTGAAGAAATTGATAGAAGAGAAGGGAGATGCATAGAGTATTTTATGCTGACTTGTGCTGCTGCTCCAGGGGGTCGTACACGTACTTGGATAATGTGCTAAATCACTTTTGGACCTACTCGGTTCAATTTTTACCATTTTGGATGGCGCCCAATCTAGTCACGATGATAGGCGCGGGTGTTATGATGTTCACGACAGTGGTGCAACTCTACTACGCGCCGCATTTCTCCGAGATTTGTCCCACTTGGGTGCGCTGTTTTGTAACTACTGATTAACGAGATATAATTCTAACTGCTTACGCTTTGTCTCTGCAACGTCGTAGGTCTACATCTTATCAGCTTTGGGGCTATTCTTTTACCAGACGATGGACGCGCTGGATGGCAAACAAGCGCGTCGCACGGGCGCGTCGTCCCCGCTGGGACAACTTTTTGATCATGGTTGTGACGCCTTGTGTACGATCTTTAATGTCCTGAGTGCTGCTGCCACGTGTCAAGCCGGTGCTGGCTTGCGTGCGTACGTTGCGTTGTCGTCCGTATCCATCACATTCTATCTGGCACAATGGGAGGAGTACCACACGGGCGTGATGAGCTGTGGTAATGGTTTCTTTGGCGTTACAGAAGGGCAGTTAACGTTGGTGGCAGTCCACTTGACTGCGGCGTTCTTTGGAGCCGGCTTTTGGACAACGGAGCTGGCAGTATTCTCCGTGACCATGACGGACGTACTGATTAGTTCACTCGTCGCAAGCAACGTCTTACTAGCGTACGGCAATATCTTTAATGTGTTGCGGGCGGCTCCAGACGCAATTCCATCTGATGAACTGGGCAACAAGCACATATCAAAACCGATTGCTCTCGTCCAGTTGATCCCAATTGGTATTCTTTTGGCTTTGGGCTCCCTCTGGATTTGTGGTCCTGACGCGGAGAACTACGAACACTACCCTGTCTTGTTCTTGTTCCCTATTGGCATCGGCTACGTGTATTTCTCGGTACGTATCGTGTTATCAAGTGGTCTCTTTTTATATCGCTAATTTATTAATATTTTTGGGTGTTTTGGGTGTTTTGGGTGTAGACCCGAATGATCATGAGCCACATGTGCAAGATCCCGTTCACTCCTCAGCTGCGTGTAATTATCCCGTTCGGCTTTGTTATCTTCAACGCCTACGTGCGAATCTTCTCAAAGCCGGTTATCCCGACCATTGTGGCTTCATCACTGTATGTGGTATTCATCGTGCTCGTTTACCTGCACTTCGTCATTGGTGTGGTCAAGGATATTTGCAACTTTCTCAATATCTTCCTTTTTAAGATCAAGCCGGTGGTAACGAGCAACAAAAAAGTAGACTAAAGCCGAGTAAATTTCACAGCAGGTCATAGCGAACGCAGAGAAGGGAAGAGAACAAAAAATGGGGCAACAGCATTTAGATAAATCCACACAATACACGCGTGTTCGGTTTATCTCGCGCGGCGACCGCTTTTCGTTGCAGTCTAGAAATCCCAGTTCCAGTCATCCGTTTTTTCCTTGGTCGTAGAATCCAGCTTCATTGCACCCAGAGGTTGATGCTTCACCTTGCTTTTTGCATGAGCTGCCTCTGCACGGCGTTCACGGACCGTCTTCCGCTCGGGAGACAATCCGGCAGGCGCAACTGGTGCTATTGTAGCGGTGGTCGAAAGTGAAGACTTGCTTAGTCCATTGCTATCCTTCTGGAAACCCGGGCTACGCCTGTTCGCCTTAAGTGTTAATACGTTCAAATCCAAGTCATCGTCAACACCCCATTTATCGTCTCCCCACTCAGTGTCAGCAGCATTCATTGCAAAGGTTGAGCTTGAAGGCGTCTTTTGTACTGCGAAAGAAGATTGATTCGTTCCCGGTTTACGAGACACGCTTAGCTTAACTGATGTTGTCGACAAAGACAACAACTCAGACAACGAAGATGCCGCTGGAGACGATGATGATGTTGCCCCGTGGTTCACCGATAACGACGAGCCAATACCGGACCTTGTACGCTTAGGGCTCTCTAAGCCATCCAAGTCGGCATCATCGCCCCATCCATTTCCAGCTGCAGTTTCATCCGCTGAAAATGCGTTAAAGCTGTTGAGCGTCGACGATGACGATGATGAAGCAGAAGAGCTAAGATCATTGTCTTGGATCTTTATACCCGAGAGGAAAGATGAACGCAACGACGAAGTTCCAATTGATGCCCCTAATGTAGACCGTGCAGACAACGATCCATCACATCCCACCAGCTTATCAACGTTTGACGCAACAGCCGAGGAGGCCCAAGCTGTCAGAGAAGATACATATCCACTCGAGCTACAAACACCATTAGAAGATGAAGAAGTAGTTCCACATGCGACAGCGTCGCCAACGTGGTCGCTTTCGCCTAAGATGCGCTTCGCTTCATGTTCCTTTGCGTCAGGCTCCTCCCGAGTTTTCATGTGAGCAGCTTCATCCATTATTTTCTTCATAAAACTGTCAAGCGAGATCTTTGCTTGATCTCGGACAGTGGTCGAAACGTCAAGAAGAAGAGGTGAAATCGCTGGGACAATGCTACTCGCCATGCTTTGCGGTGTAAAGTATACCTACAATTTACGGAATTAGTTTAAAAGTAGAACATGAGCCCTGTTTGACCTAGCTATCAATGCTAGATAACTTACTTGGCACGCAGTTATTGAGCGAAGTCCAGCAAGACGTGCATGAGGAAAGGAATCTCGTAGCGCCTTCGCAAACGCTGGAAACAGCACCTTTGGTCTTGTCGTATCATTCAATTTGCTGGCAATTTTTCCTAAACAGATCGTGGTGTTTGTTCGGATAGCTGGCTCCGGATCGGACTGCATTTTCATTGCAATAGTTAGGGTTCAAATAGTAATAAAACCACTGTATTGTGTCTCATCTGACGCACCTGAAGTTTCGCAAAATACTTCATGACACGGTTGTTAAGATTGCTTTCTGACAACTTATCTGCGATGTGTAACATTGACTTGACAGTAAGCTCGCGCAACACCGGAGCCGCGTCTGAAAATCCACTACACAAGTTGTCGAACACAACCAAACTGTTTACAAGCTTTTCGTCAAAGTGGACCGCAAACTTTTCCATCATTTGCAATAGCTGCACGCGGACAGCACGGTCATTGCAACTAAACAGCTTGATAATAATCGGAAGCACCTCGGCCTTAAATTCTTCGGCAGACAAAGAGCTGCCAATCTGCACCATAGCTGGAAGCATGTGACTAGCCGACGGGTCCAGTTTTACAAGTCCATTCTTGGCACCAGGTGCTGCACCAAACTCGACAACCTGTTTCAAAGCTGGTAATATCTTGTGCACACCAAAGCAGCGCGGCAGCGTTTCTAAGTTAGCACATAGCTCTTTGTAAAAGGCTGCCTTCTCATCCGATTCCTTGACAGCGAGATTCTCCAAAAAATCCATCCGTTTGATAAACGCCGTATCAAAGTAGCTGCAATTTAACATCTTTCGTGGACTTGGTCGGCGAGCAGCCTTATCGTCGATAGCTTTGCGATATTGAGTCCGAATGGTCGGTGGAATATTAGCGGCCGACGAAACGTCGCTGGATCGAAAGTGACCATCATTGAAAACGTAATACATGAGGCAAGCAAATGCCCAGATGTCTATGCCATAGGGCGGTCCCGTTGCCACCGCCTTCCAGTCACAGCGTTGGCATTCTATATATATTAATACAGTCACGACCACATCACCATAATTACACTGCACCAATGCAAAAACTGTTCCACACACCTGGTGACTTGTAGCTAGTATCTGCATACTGTTGGAAAGCTGTGTACATGTACGATGGGCCATCGCTCGTGATCTCGGCTGTCAGCTCAAAGCCACCCAGTTTCCAGTCCCCGCCCTACTCATTCAGCCAAAAATCCACGATTAGTACCATTGCTACTACTACATGCCCATTATCAACCGATTGCTACCTTAGTGACAAAGATACTCTGCGGCGCGAGGCGACCGTGAATAAGTTTGCAGTCGACATTAACGAACTGCAACGCCATTAGAATGCTGCGCAGGCCCCAGGAAACGCACATAGAAAACTCGCTGCTGTGCACTCCATACTCCATACGAAGTGTCATGAGGAAATCGGCCAGCGGCATGACGTGCTCCGTGACGATGATCACGGGACCGTTATTAGGCACTTCTGTTCCGTCCAGATAAGCAAGAATATTAGGGTGACGCAGTGTCTTTATACGACGCAGAGCGTTCTGCGTAAGCTGCCCCGATGGATTCCGAGACTTGAAGATGGACACGGCATGGCTCGGGTCCTGTTTGCTCTTGCCCGAGTGCAGCACAAAGTCCGACAGCCCCTCAAACACGACACTCTCACCAGCTGCGCCGCTGGCCGCCACATTTCCGTCCATTGACGGCGTATCAATCGAGAAGGGCAGACCTCCCGTGGCATTAGAGCCAACCAGGCCCCCAAGCGTCTTTAAAAAGTTCATATTTGCGCCGTCCACTTCGCCTTCTCGTTCCAGCACCCCTAATAGCGAGAGAGATAAATTAATACCCCAACGTTCAGTGATTGGTCAGAAAGATTATATTTTTTCATATTAATTAATGACAAGACTACATCTCAATGAAGGATTGGACTGCGTTGATCAGATCGGCCTTCCGTCCAACAGCTACGAGGCCATGAGCTTGTAAGAATGCCTTTAGCTGAGCCACAGTCTTCTTTTGAATTGCGTGAGAGTTGACCAGCGCAGCCCACTCCTTTCTGTCAAATGTTTCCTTCGCCTCCAATTCGCCCAAACCACCTTTCATTGACTTTTTTATGGTCGCCTTGCGCCCTCCCGGAGCCGATAACTGCGGCAATTAATTGTCCGAACAATCGAGCTAATAAGTGTGTGATACAAATTAGACAAGCACCTGTTAGAGTACTGACCTTGCGTTTCGTTTTCGTTGACGCGTCAAGTAACTCGCCACCGCATACTTCTCGGAAGTCAGCAATTGCACCCTAACAGACAAAATCAGTAAGCCTGATGCACAGCCAACAGATCTAGCTTCCTTTGCCTCACCTTTACTTCATCTTGGTCAAAGCCCTCAGCATCGGGAAGAGTGGTGTCTTTCTTTTCGTCAAATTCCAGTTCTTCCTCGTCGAGCGCTAGAGCTTGAATTGCAGCGTAATGCTTTTGCAGATCTGTTTTAGCAAACCAATTTCAGCTCATCACCCACTACCAAACAACACAATGTGCGTAAAATGCACCTGGGTTCTCGAAACTCGGAGCTTCTGTCAGCTTCAACTTCGCGATCAAGTGCTTCGCTGCGTCAATTTTCTCCTGGGCGACTGCAACAAATACGCAGTGAGCACCAGTGATAAGCACAAAGCATGATACGTCAGACATACTATTTCCAACGGTCTCGACCGAAACGTCACGAATATCATCCAAATACGGCAAAAAAATGACATTGAACCCTGAAGGCTGCACCTGACCCATCTCGTCGTTAGCTTCTTCCTGAGGAACCAATGCCACAAGTCGAGGCTCGCTTGTTTTTCGTGCGATTAACCTCGCCAAGGCAAACATTTGCTTTCTCAACATCGAGTTGAGAATGGCCATGAAGGCGGTAGAGCTACCTTCGATGTAGCCGTCCGAAGGATACACAAAATATGGTGAGCGAATGTTTTCGTTCCAATTGAGAGCGCTCACCGGCTTAAAGCAGATTAGCTGAAGCCCTGGAGCGTCATAATGTTTGATTTCTATCAGGTCGTCCCGTGTAAAATACACACGCTTCCCACCGAAATCAATGTACTTTTTGATCTGGTCGGGAGTAAGGTATGCCCCTGTATCTTCGCACAGCCATTTTGTCTCAACTTTTAGCGGGGTATTTGTGCTCGCGTCAAGAGCCACCGGCGTATTTTTGCGCTGAACAATTACTAGCGCGTACAGCTCTACACCAATTGACACACCTTTTGTGATATGTAGAGGAATTGTTGTCAGGCGGCGCTTGCGAAAGCGTTTGCGCAGTGACCCATCCATTAAATCATCAAGTGAACCCACAGGAAAAGCAGGTTGGAAGTATGCTTCGTTTTCAATCGCTTCTTCATCGAAATCAGCCGAGAGGTCTTTAAAGCTGCATCCATAGAACTTTGCCAGTTCGAACCTTTTCTTTCCAGGCGGAGTAATATAGAAGAAATTTAACGTGCGTTTTAGTTCGGTGTGGTTCTGTTGTTAGACAAACTATTAATCAATGCTGTGCCACGCAAGACCAATTTTTACGAAGGCAGGAAAAAGGTTACCTGGACTTGCTTCTGAATCCGATCTACTTCTTCTGTGTCTGGAGCCTGTGAGCTGTCATCATTTGTAAATATCCAGATGCGCTGTGAATCCTTTTTTTTCAAACTAGAATGAGAACAATGTAGAGGTGAGATAGAGATTATTATCTTTGCCGTAACAACACTATTAGCTTCACTGCATACTTTGCGTTGGAAAACGAGATCCCACATTGCCACAAAGCGTTACTAAAGGAAAAATTCTCCGAGTTCTCCATGGATCCAAAAGCCGACTGCACGTCAGACTCCAGCAAAGCCTACAAAATATTATGCACAGGAAAAGAATGAAATCGGACTCCTCGCATTATAAAGATGACAAAAAGTAGACGAACGTGAAGTTCCTTGATCCTTTGCGCTGACGGATACCCCAGCGGTTGAAATTCGTAGACTTGCTCTAGTGTACCTGCTTCTCCACGTTTGTTCTAAGCTCTAGCAGTCAGTTAAAAAGCTAAAGTGAGATTAATCAGCTCCAAATTACAAACTAACCGTCCCAAAGAAGATGAGGCTTAGCAATGAATTATCGCTTGCAACTACTTTCGACTTAAGAAGCTTTATCATCAGTTCCACGACAGCATGAAACCATGTGGAAGGAGCATCTACAGCCGCGTGGGGGTACGACGAAAACATGGCCTTGCGTACATCCAGTAAAACAATCAGTGCGTCTTTACCAGTCGTAGCCATCTCCCATTCCTCTTCCTCCCCTAGCCGCTGCTCACTCGCCGCCGCATTCTGACTCCCCCACGCGTCCATTTCGCCGAATGACTTGATTTGATAATGGGTCTTATAAAAGGACTTACAGTTAACACACTACCAACAAGCACTACCGGTATTTTAATACAGTATAACCAGCTTATGATTGTCAAGTCTCTTGCTTAGCGCGTAGCATCATGGGCACGAACTCGTGCGACTAAAAGTTGCGCTCGAATCTGCGGTCTGCGAGTATTATGCACCTCAGATAGACCCGAGAAAGGCGGTGTCAAGGCGGGTAATGCCTAAAGCTTTGGGAACAGTGAATTAAGCGAATGGCGGCATAACTTTTAGCCTGGAGCGATACATCTGCCCGCACAACTTGTTGGCCGTGTCCGTGCAGGTCTTCATTTAGAACTCATTTAGCTTCTTCTATTCAAAAGTTTGATATTCTGCTGCACGTGAAGCAATCCCTCCTTGTCTTTGTCAATCTCATCTATATCTTAAAGTTTAATTTCCACCGAGCTACTACATCGAAGGCCTCCCTGTGAGTAACAGACCGTCTATTTCAACACTAGGAATTGGTAAGATGTCTGGAGTGTTTCTATCAAAGCTTCATCATTCTTCTCTTGCTAGCTCAATCTCCTGGCTCGAGACGTTGGGCGTCACGGGAAACACTCCGCAAAGGGCACGTGGAATCGGTTATCCAGCCCAAAGTGTAGACAGTGGCTCTATGATCGCGACAAGCACCGGGCACCACTCAATCGGCCGCTAATGCTCCTGGACGGGACCGATCAATTTACGTTCTTGGCAAGTTTGCTTCGTGGAACTGAACTTTGCGCTCGGGGATCGCATCGGCGGCTTGAAGGCTGACGTAGAATAGCAGGGATTATGAAGGGGTAAATAAAGTCATTAGCGCGGGCGTTGTTTCTCTCATTCCGAAGGGACATGAACGGTGCTCCTCTTACGGTCACAAGCTGCGCTTACCCCCATAGCGCACGCAGCAGAGGGAAAATCCCCGTTGTAGAGACTTCCCGCCAAGGTCAAAGGGGGCCGGTTTGGATGACTCAATGAAAGTCTTCGTCTTTTAGCCGTTGTTGCTCGAAGGCGCGAATTGGGAAGTGATCGAAGACCTCCCTGTAGAAGTGCCCGCGGTCTCTCAGTTTGCTCCTTTTTGGCTCGGATATACGCCATTCAGAACTCGCGATACAAACATGTCATCCGCATGCTATAGTCATAGTATTAGCACTTTTTCATTTGAACTTTCGAGCAACAACGTCCAAGAGATAAAGACCTTACAAAAACCGGGTGACCGGCCCTCTTTTCCTGGACGGAAAGTCCTCCAAAAGTGGAGCCCAGGTAATAGAGGGGAAGCCTTCTTTCTGCTGCGTTTGCTGCGGGAGGGCAGCGCAGCGTGCGAACCGCAAGGGAGCAACAATCCACAACCTTGGGGTGAGGGGCACGACATCCGAGAACGTCACCCGCATCTAGTATCCTGCTATTCTACGTCCGTTTTCTCGTCGATGGTCCGTTTGCCGAGCGCAAATCCCGGTCCCACGAAACAAACTTGCTAAGAACGTGAGGCGATCGGCCCACTAAGATGCGTCAGCGGTCAGTCGGAGATGATCGGAGTGGTAACCGGTGCTTGCCGTGACACTTTAGGATGAATCACCGATTACACATGCCCTTCGCGGAGTGTCCCCCGTGAAGCGCGACGTCTTGGACCAGCAGACTAAGCCAGCGAGGAGGAGAACGATGTAGTCTTGTTAGAAGCATATTGAAATCGAAGAAAGTCAATCATAAACACTTAATCGACGTACTCACTGGTACCAAGGTTTTTCGAGTGGTAATAGTGAGGGCAGTGTGTACCACATATGAATGCATTATGAATCAAAGTCTGCAAATCCAAATAAGGTCTTGGATTTCTCTCCCCTTTTGTAGAACTGATAGAAATGAGTCGTTTGAGCGTGAATTTGACTGTTGGCGTCGGCACGGCCGCAGTGCTATACATGGTTCGGCTCCGCCGTGCGGCATACTCGAACCTGGCTGATCGTGTGCACCCACCTGTTCTAAAGAAGCGGTCCAAGATGGTTCCGTTTGGTGCGATCGCCGGTCAAAATCGTGGCTCGAATCCCATGAAGCCCATCCTGTACCTGGAGGACCCGTACTTCTACGTTCGGGATGACTCTCGCAAGAACGAGGAGGTGCTGCAACATTTGCGCAAAGAGAACGAGTATACGGATCTCAAAACGAAACATCTTGCGAATGTGCGTGCCAATATATACGATGAGCTGCTGTCACACGTACAGGAGACGGACGAGGATTATCCATACCCACACGGCCCCTATCTGTATTATAGCCGAACAGTCAAGGGAAGCAGCTATGCTTACCACTGTCGCAAGTCTAAAACTGAGAACGCTCCGGAGGAGGTATTACTGAATGAAAATGAGATTGCCAAGGGCCATCATCACTGTGAGGTTGCCAGTGTCTCTCCCAGTCCAGATCATCGCTATCTGTCCTATATGGTGGACTTTAGTGGCTATGAAACTTACATTGGCTACGTAAAGGATCTTCAGACGGGGGAGTTGCTGTCTGACCGTATCGAAAATATTTCTAGTCTGCAATGGGGACAGAACGCCTCTGTGCTTTACTATGCTACGCAGAACGATGCCCACCGCCAGGACAAGCTTTGGCGCCATGTCATGGGAAGCTTAGATGCAAACGAGCTACTATATACAGAAGACGATGAAATTTATAGCGCCTACTTCCAGAAATCTCGCAGTGGAAAATACATGTTTTTGGTTTCCTCTAGCAGCGAAACCAGCGAGGTTTCTTTCATTGACTTAGACTACCCGTCAAAGCCGCCACAACTGATTGCTAAGCGACAAAAGGGGTTAATCTATGAAGTGGATCATTTTGGTGACAACTTTTACATCGTCACCAACAAGGACAAGGCCACAAACTTCAAGTTGATGAGAGCACCCGTGACGTCACCATCGCCTGAACACTGGGTAGACGTGTTTCCGTACGATGAAAGCGTTAAGGTTGACGGTATTGACTGTTTTAAGGACTTTATGGTCATGTTCGGTCGCCAGGGCGGCTATTCCCAGCTCTGGATCATTGTTCCCGAGATGGGCAATAAGCTTTCTCGCCGCCATATCACTTTTCAGGAGTCAAGCTACACTGTTTCCAGCTCTATCAATCGGGACTTCGACACGGATAAGTATCGATATAATTACTCATCAATGACCACCCCGTGGACAACATTTGATTATGACATCAACACCCATCAGTCCAAGCTGTTAAAAGAAAAGACTGTGCCCAACTATGACCGTTCTCTTTATAAAACTGAGCGCGTGGAAGCTGAAGCAAGTGATGGCACCATGGTACCCATCTCGCTTGTGTACCGTTCCGACATGCGCTCGCGAGACCGCCAGCCGCTGCATTTGTATGGTTATGGCTCGTATGAAATTTCAATTGACCCGAGCTTTGTCTCCTCTATCTTGCCCCTTCTGGACCGAGGTGTTATATACGCAATTGCACATATCCGAGGTGGCGGGGAAATGGGGCGAACGTGGTACGAGGACGCAAAGTACAAAACGAAAATCAACACCTTCGCAGATTTCATCTGCTGCGCTGAGCATTTGATCAATACTGGGTACACAAGTTCAAGCAAGATGACGTGTGAAGGCCGAAGCGCTGGCGGGCTACTTATGGGCGCAGTTTTGAATATGCGCCCAGACCTTTTCACGGCTGCCATCGCTGGGGTGCCCTTTGTGGATGTGATGAATACCATGAGCGACGCCTCCATTCCGCTGACGACTGGAGAATGGGAAGAATGGGGAAACCCGAACGAGAGAGCTTACTTTGAGTACATGCTCAGTTACTCGCCATACGAAAATGTAAAGAAGCAAGCGTACCCGAACATTTTGGTGACGAGTGGATTGTTCGATCCACGTGTGGCGTACTGGGAGCCCACCAAGTGGGTCGCTAGGCTACGTGACATGAAGAGTGACCAGAACGATGTGTTGCTGAAGATGGATTTGTCATCGGGTCACTTTAGCGCAAGTGATCGGTACCACTACCTGAAGGAGAAGGCTTTCGATCTGGCGTACCTGTTGGACCAGATGAAGGCAATTAGGGAAGATGACAAGAAGACACCTAAAGCTACTGCGAACGAGTAGGACGTGACACGAGCCAAAGCTAATTTTGACTTTAAGATGTTAGCTTTGTACCATAACGAACACATTGTGTTGCCTACTTCTTGCGTTTTCGACTGTCTTCGTGGGAACTTTCCTCGCCTCTTGTTGCAGCTGCAACTTCGGCTTTCGCTTTCACAAATAACTCCACTTCGTTTCGAAAAGCCTTTCTCTCCTTTCGCTGGGCATGAAGAATCGTCTTTGAGCAGCCGTAGGCAGCTTGCGATAAATTAAATCTGGACAAGTATAAATGCTGCAATGCCAAGTCTTCCGAGAGCGGCGAGCACACCTCACTCTTTAAAATCGTAAGCACCTGTCCAGTCGATGCACAAATCTGAATGGAATCGGACAAAAAGTACTGCAGGACAATTCCGCGCTGGTGTCCCATTGGCTTCGCATCTGATCGATATGTCTTCACAATGTTTCCTACCGCAAACTTCAGCGTATCGACGAGGTCTCGAAATTGCATAAACGTCTGGCTTTTTAATTTGGCGGCAAGGGGTGACCACATGTGTCGTGGTCGCACCGCAGGGTCTTCGTGTGACTTCCACGGAACGATAGTGGCATCCACACAACTTACAATGGGCGCTGGCCTAATAAATTCTGGGATGTTAGCTTGATAACTGGCACCAACATTAGGCTTGGGACGGCCCAATCCATTTCGAATGGCTTCATTTTCGACAACTTCCAGCGCCTTTTTAATGTTGCTTCGGTTCGGATAGTACTTGTAACGGCATACATAATACATTTTTCCTTTCTCACGAAATCCACGCTTGATTTCGTCTCGTATTTCTATATATTCATGAGGAGACACAACCTGGCATATTTCGATCACAGCCTCGATCGAATTCCGGTCCTTATGCGGTGACAAAAACACCTCGTTTTCCAGGACACCACCCTTGATTAAGGCCTTCACTTCCTCCTTCACATCATACGGCTTATAGTACCACTGGGCCATGAAACTGGATACGGCTCGATCATGCCGCTGTGAGGTCTGTATTGAGCTTACGAGCGCGACGTAGGGATCATCAGGGTCTCCTGAATCCATCATCACGCAGTCTCCAACTTGAACGTGAACATAGTCTCCAAGAGAGTCAATGTCGCCCGAACACTCCTCCTTCCCTTTCAGCGCTGTGGCCTTGTTATTAGCTTTCATGTCTTGGCTGGAATTTAACGCAGAGTTTGACTTTGGATTTGCTTGGCTTGCACCACGAATATTGGGACCCTCGCTCTCCGAGTCCGACGCGGCTGCTAGCTGCTTATACTGCGCACGCGTCACCCTCTTCTCAAAGAATTCCTCATCAGAACTAGTTGTGACTACGGTCTTCGATACTTTAATATCTACATCAGCCAAGCTTGGCTGCTGGTCAGCTACGGACTTATCCGAGCTGTCCGTGTGCTTATTCCTTCCGATCGTAGCGCTTTCCATTATTTAAACCGCTACCCAATATCTGTGTCGAATTGCTTACAAAAAGAATCGTGCAGCGGCTGCCTTTTTGCAAGCCCAAGCACTACGCACGGACGATCCCGGGTCAAAGTGCACTCTGCTCTTTGAATCCACGGCAGCCCCTGGCTGTCGATCGGTGCTTTGTAATGTGCGAACAGATAACAGGGCCAAGGGGGCTATTTTACCCAATCACATGGTACTACTATTTTTGCAAATGTTTTTATCGGAAAAAGGAGAGCCTTTTTTACTCCTACCAAATCCTCCCACAAATAATGTTATTTGCGAGTGATTTATTACAAAGCAGTTAATGTGCAGAAAAAGGTCTGCTTCTAGAACATTCCACACTACCTTGCCAAACGGCTGGTGAGGCAGAGGACAATCTTTGCATGTGGCAGTTATGCTTCTACGAACCATTAAGATATAACACATATATGTTGTTTCTAACTTTTACTTGCGCAAAATCTCCGTCTTTTACGACTGCAGATAAACCATCACCTTTCTAGCACAATGTCAATCTGCATTGTTGTACAAAACAGTGCTTGTTTTATCGGCTAGAAACGTATATGGTTTATTTACACACATAACTTGTCTCTTTGGATTTGCTCAAATGTGGCGCAACCACAGAAATGCCGAACATCTTGACCAAAGTAAGAGGCCGTAAGAGAGCATCCCAATCCATCAATGTAAAAAAAACTGTAAGTGGGCTTAAAAGGGCATGGCCAGTGCTTCAAACCGAGCTTCAACGTGGTTCTGAGCTATGTTTACTCGTTTTAAAACGATCAGCTAGTGATAATACTAAGCTGGGCAATGTTATTTCTTCATTGAACTTTCGATATGTGCAGGAAGCTCTTTTAAGTCTGGCCACACGTGGGTATGGATGGGACGGGATAAAAAAAATCGTGACAGGTGGTCCAACAATTTTAGGTCATAGGCCAGGAAAGGCCAGGAAAATCACTAGGTCCTAGACTTCGAGGGTTGAGTCTTTAGAAAGGAGTCTATCCCCTTTTCATATTAAAGACAGGACATGTAACGGGCTGATAGTTACACGAGTCCGTTTAGTATATGATACTTAACGGGCAGGTCTAAAAGGGTACGTGATACCTTACACCCCTCCCCTGCCACTTGGGTGCGGCACATCAATGTGACCCCCTTCGCAAAGGTGATATCCATAGGATGAATTCACATTCAACGAGGATGACGCCCAGCTGCGACTAGGCATGATGGTAATGCTCCAAACAGACGTCACCAGCGAGCTTAAATATATTTTAAGCTCGCACGTAAGGATACGATTCTAAAGAGACGCATATCCAATCTTTGCATAATTAGCCAATCAGTAGTTAATAGAGGTTATTGGAGAGGTTGGCAGTGCTTGATTGTTTTAATGTAAAACGCAAAGTGATTCATTTGGTCCTTAGTTCGCTTACACTACTTTAAGCCTAAGGTTTACCCTCTGGATACACTCTACTTGATCCAAACTTCAACTGCATCCAATCACCGAACTTCAACTGCATCCAATCACAGGAATGACGGTAGTATCGCAGTCATATTGTCAACACTCCCACTCGACTCGACAGCCGATGATGCCATATTGCCAAGTTTGCTTCGGAGCGTACTGAACTGTGGGCCGGGAAGTGGCTTCGTCATGAGGATCGGCCAGCATGTCAAGTGTTGACACATACTGCAGCACAACTTGGACATCTTCCACCTTCTCGCGTACGAAGTGGTATCGTATGTCGATGTGCTTGGTGCGCTTGTGAAACTCGGAATTCTTGGCCAACGCTATCGAACCTTGATTGTCCTCGTAGATCTTGACCGCTTCGTCCTTTGCCATTTCTCCAAGCTCGCATAGGAAGACCTTTAACCAAACTGCCTCTTGAGTAGCTTCCGATAGTGCCATGTACTCAGCTTCCGTTGAAGACAGTGCCACCGTTCTTTGTTTCTTGCTTCTCCAACTGATACACCCGCCGTTCATCATGAACGCGTAGCCACTTGTACTTCGGCGCGACTCAGTGTCGCCTGCCCAGTCTGCATCCGAATAGCCTGTAAGAGCATCGCCATCCGCCGTGAACTCGATGCCGTAGGTCTTCGTGCCTTGAATGTACCGAAATACCCGCTTTAGCGCTTGCCAATGTGTAGGACATGGATCTGCTGCAAATTGGCTGAGGACTCCTACTGCAGCGGCAAAGTCGGGACGCGTGCCAACCATAAGGTACATGAGGCAACCAACAGCACTTCGGTAGGGCACATTTGCCATTGTGTCGCTGTGATTGCACCCATCCTCGCACATGGACTTCGCCAATTTGAGTCCTGGATCTTGTGGTGTCTTGACTGGATTGCTGTTGTCCATGCTAAACTTGGTCAAAACGTCCTTGGCGAACTTGGTCTGACGCATCGATACCTTTCTACGCTCTTGATCGATTTCCATGCCAAGAAAGAAGTTGAGCTTACCCAAGTTGGTCATCTCAAATTGATCACTCAAGGCGTCCTTTACTGTATTGAGCATCTTGTCACTGCTGCTTGCAAGTATTAAGTCGTCCACATAGAGTGCGACGAAGATTATGGCTTCACCGTCGCGTTTCGTGTAGATGCAGTGGTCCGATTCACATTTTTTCAAACCAAGCTTCAGCATGAACTCGTCAATGTTCTTGTTCCACATGCGCGGCGATAGCTTCAGTCCGTACAGCGATCGATTGAGCTTGCACACGAGGTTGGGATTGCTGTCCTCGACGTAACCTTCAGGATGAATCATGTAAATGTCTTCGTCCAGCTCACCATTGATAAAAGCAGTCTTGACGTCCATCTGGTGCACGGTAAGATCGTACTTCGCCGCAAGACTTAGCACGATTCAGATTGACGTGAACTTTGCCACAGGCGCGAATGTTTCTTCATAGTCTATACCGAAATTTTGCGAGAATTTTTATGCAACCAGGCGTGCCTTGAACCGCTCAATTTGTCCATCCTCGTTTTCTTTGACACGAAACACCCATCTGCAGCCGATTGCTTTGCGACCTTTGGGAAGCTGGACAAGATCCCATGTCTTGTTCTTGAGCAGCGAGTTGATATCGGAGTCGCACGCTTCTTCCCATTTCACAGAGTTGATGGATTACATCGCCGACCTGTGCGTGGTCGGCATTCCTCCCACTGAATCCACAACGAATGCCGCCTCAAATTCTCCTTCAGCAATGGCCGACATGTTCTTGAGACAACGGTTTTGTCGCTTCGAACTCGAAATTTCCGTTGCTTGATCGAGAGATTGTGCTCTTGGATGTCTTTTGTCGCCAGGCGCGAAGTCTATCGTTTGGACGTCCTCAACGTCTTCATCTTCATTCATAGCGTCATCCGTATCTTCATGGTCCGTACTCACTTCCTCGTTGAGATCAGTGACCGCTTGTTCTTGGACAGATCTACCACCGTCGAAGACGTCTTCCATAAACTGCGCATCACGACTTACGGTGACGCGCCCACTTGATATGTCCTCAAAGCGGTAGGACTTGAGATGCTCCGCGTAGCCCAAAAAACGGCATAGTGAAGCCTTGGCATCCAATTTCGAGCGTTTCTCGTGCGGAATATGGACGTACGCATGACATCCAAATACCTTGAGGTTTGTCAGTACAGGCTTCTTCTTCGTCCCGACCTCATAAGGTGACTTGTCTTCACTTATGGCTCTTGTTGGGCATCGGTTTCGCAGAAACATTGCCGTCGTCACAGCTTCGCCCCAATATTTCTTGGGTAAATCAGCGTGCTCCAGCATGCAACGAGCACATTCCACGAGCGTCCAGTTCATTATCTCCGCGACCCCATTCAGCTGTGGTGTGTACGGCGGCGTGTACTTTCGAATAATACCGTGCTTGGTACAAAACTTCGCCATGTCTCCAGCCGTGTACTCGCCGCCGTTGTCAAAAATTAGCGTCTTGACGCGATTACCAGTTTGAGTCTCGGAAAGAGCAACAAACTCAGCAAACTTGGTGGTCACTTCGGACTTCTTCTTCATAAGATACACCACGCAGTATCTTGACTTGTCGTCAATGAACGTGACGAAGTATCGTTTGCCACTGAAAGTCAATCTTGACATAGGTCCACATACGTCGCTGTGAATGACATCCAGAATCTTGGTTGAGCGTTTCGGTGCTGTCTATTGAAAACGCACGCGTGTTTGCTTACCAAGCGCACATCCATCACAAACATCCCAGTTTTCGACAGACGTTATGTTGATTCCAACACCAAGTTTCTTCTTCACGATGGTATCAAGTCCATCGTGGCCCACATGACCAAGTCGAAGGTGCCAGAGGTACGACTTGGTGTCCCCATAACATCCCGACGACTTGGCTGCATTGGCTTCATCTCCCAGAAGTGGCGTCATTTGAAGCTTGAAGAGACCTTTACCCTCACGAGCTCCGATCTTCCACTTCATGCTTTTCGCTTCGGCAAAACAGCCATCCGTGTCGAATGTTACAGGACCGACGTCCTTAGTAAATCGACCGACCGAGAAAAGGTTGCGAAATAGCTTGGGAATGTGCCACACCTTCGTCTGTACATCCTTCTTGATATCTTCATAGACATCATTATGTCACCACATCCAATTGCTTGCACGACACCATCGTCTGCAAGGTGTACGTTAATTGGAGAGAAGAGCTTGTAGTTTGTCATGAACTTCTTGGAGCACGTCATGAGCTGCGTCGCTCCTGAGTCGACCAGCCACACTTCATCCGCGCTGTCGGCGCTCTTACTCCAGCCAGCCGAAAACAGATAGTCGCCGTCAATGTCGTTCTAAGTGACGTTGGCGCGATGCGATGGGTAGCGTTCCGTGTTGTCTTGGCCTCGCGAAGGACACCCCGCGATCCAATGACCCATTTTGCCGCAATTATGGCACGCCCCAGTCTTCTTCACCGGTCGCCCTTTGTTGCGCTTGTTGTCCCTTGTCATAAACGCTTGGCCATGGGTAGCTCCGTCGACGCTACCACCTTGTTCCTTGCGTTATATGC